CCATCTCTGTCACCATCATCCCATGTGCTGCTCCACCATGAAGCCACTGTCACCTTCCCTACCAAGATGGAGCAGCACAAGGACATCCCTTACCACGATGCTGGCACGTGTGGAGCTCAGCCCAGACAGTAGGGACCCTGCTGGAACCGAGTCTGCTTGGCACCCACCAGCAATTTTGGTTTTGCAGCAGCGCCTGAAACATTGTGTCCATGGGGAGCACCTGGCGGCTGGGTGCAAGCGGGTTTGCCAGTCCTGAAGGTGGCCTGTGGGTCTCTGGGAAGAATCTGGAAGGGGGCAACCGAAATATTTGTACTCTCCAGAGACATCACTACACTCAAAGCTTTACAAAGCGTAAAGCTTTCAAAAGTGCAGCGGATTCCTCTCCCCATCTTTATTTCTTGGGGAAAAGAAACCAACCCTGAGGGCTGATGCTAGGGAGGCAAAGCGGGAGATAGAGGTAGGAGGGTCTGTAAATAGCAGCTCCCTCCTGAAGACAGGTGGTCGTGGCTTCCACGTGTGGTACCGAGCGATGCATGCTCCCCACCGTCGTGAGTCAGGCTTCCTCTGAGGATGGCCTCTTACTGCACAGTAAAAAGCTCTGGAGCTCAGCACGGAATCAGGTTGGGTCGTCATTCCAAGCCACAGGGGCGGCCCAGCTGGATGCTGGGATCTCTGCCCCTGTGGGAACAACCCACCTCCCACCTACCCTGCTCGTGGTCTCATTTCATCCCAAGCCACCACCTCATCTCAAAGACGAGGACCCTGAAAACCAGTGCCTACTGCAGCCACAATCAAATCATCTACCAAAATCTGCTAGGTTGCATGCCAGGAATTAAAGCCCTGCATTTGTCTGGGCATACTGGAGCACACCTATAATCCCAGCGCTCAGGAGAATGAGGCAGAAGGAGCACCTAAGTAGGTGAGTTCCAGGGCAGCCTGCACTACATGGTGAGACCTTCTCTTTCTCAAAAAATAAATAAAAATAAAAAACAGACAAGAAAAAAACCTGTGTTTGTATGTAATCCACAGCAATGGACAGAAACATCAAACTGTTTTTAAAGGTCTGTCTCGGAACAAAGAACATGCTTACCAATTTGCTAGTTTTCTTCAAATTTTCTACTCCTGAAAATGTGTGGGTCTGGGATCTCTGCATCAAATCATTGATTTTAGAACAGAATTCCCCCAAAGTACATGCAAACAAAAAACTAACATTGGCCCTTATCTTAGTCTTTTTTTTTTTTTTTTAGGGCTATTGTAGCAAAGTATCATATACTGGGCAGCTTATAAAGAACAAATTTCTCTTCTCAGTTCTGGAGGCCGGAAAGCCACACCCAAAGTGTCCAAAGCTTAGCGGTGCACAGATGGCTGTCTTTCCCCCTGTCTCTCCCAAGGGCACTGATCCCCTGCTGGCACGACCACATGGGGCGCTGGGGTTTCCACATGAGGGTGAGGGGTGCTGACACTCAGGTCACGGCAACTCCTGTCTTTCTCCACATGTGCAGGTGAGCCCGGCCGCACGCCCTGCTGCTCACACGTGTGAGTCTGCACTGCGGGAGCCGGGGCACGTGCCACCTCACCCTGCCCTCTGCCAGCTGGCTTCTCCACCTTGCAGTGACTGCATGCTAGGGCAGGACACTCACAGTGGTACCAGACAAGCTGAGGAACAGAAGTATGCCATAAAAATACCAGCCGGGCAGGGTGGCACAGGCTGAGGCAGGAGGACCACCGCAAGTTTGAAGCCAGCCTGATCTCATAGTTAGACCCGGGCTCAGACAGAAAGAAAAGAGAGAGAGATAGAGAGGAAAAGAAAAGGCTAGCTGAAAAAGCAGTCAGTGCAAGTGAAGATAGTCCACAAAAGGCAAAAATTTATAAAGGTGTCAGGTGCAATGGCAATGCATGTAATTCCAGCACTTGAGAGGCTGAGGCAGGAGGATTGTGGTAAGTTGAAGGTCAGCCTGGGCTACACAGGGAGTTTAAGGACAGCCTGAACTATATAGAGAGACTCTGTCTCAAAAAAAAATTTTTTTTTAAAAAGTAGAAGGGATAGGGGCTGGGGATTTAGCTCAGCGGCATAAGCACCTGCCTTGCACACAGGCGGTCGTGAGTTCGATCCCTGGTACCGATTTAAAAAAAAAAGTAGAAGGGACAGATGCAAACATGTTTGGAGAGGACAGGGACCGAAACTCAATTCTGTCAATCACCAAACTCTAAGGCAAAGCAAAGGCCGTGCAGTAGGCGGAGGGCGCATCCACTGTGGAGGAAGCGTGGGTTGCCCGGGTGTTGTCTATCAGAGATTCCCAAGGCCGCAGAAAAGGCTGCTGAGCTGAAGACAGATGCTGGGGGCAGCTCTGGGGCCCACTGCGTTGTCAGGCGGGTGTCGCCCCTACAGTGGCCCCCTTCGTGGAGACACTCTCTGGGTTTCAATTCGCCCTTTGTTCTCTTGGCAAATGGCCATCACGGTTGCCACTGGGAGCTTTTCCCCTGTGGGAATGGTGCCCAAGTTCGGGGGGGGGGGGGGCTTGGACTCACACTTGGCGGAACCCGGGTTCCTGCTTGTGTGATTTTCTCTCACTGGAAAGCAGCGGCTGGACAGGCTTGGTTCTAACCCCTGAGAGCTGCCGCTGCCAGTTTATCTCAGCAACAGGCCAAATGTCCAGAACTGAACCCAGAGGCCAAGTTACTAGATTAAGGCCAAAGTTCTTCCCAGCCTTTCCCTGTCCTCTGGGTGGTGGAAGCCACATGTATGGCAAAGCATCCATGGGCAGTTTGCTGGCAATTTCTTTCCACACTGGTAACCCAATGAAGGATTTCCAACCAGATCTGGTGGTACATGCCTGTAATCCCAGTGCTCGGGGAGGCAGAGGCAGGAGGGTTGCTGCAAGTTTGAGGCCAACCTAAACTATACAGTGAGACCCTGTCTCAAAAAATTTTTTTCATTTGCAGTCCTTACTGTTGACTCCGGTTTATTCCACTGTGCCAAATACATTTTAAATTGAGGTATAATTACATACTAAAAAAGAGCCTAGATCTTAAGTGTAGACCTGAAAAAGACTTCCATGTGGTCAACCCTGCAATCAAAATGGAGTATTCCCATCACCGAGAGTTCTGTGGTACCTCTGTCTACTCAACATTCTGCTCCTCCCTCCTGACGCAGGGCCACAACCACGCCTCAGATTTCTGTTTCACTTGTTGCGGGGGTGGGGTGGTGGTGGTGGGGGGTCCCAGTTTCTTTTTCTGAGAGTGAACTAGTGCTGAGACTGAACTAGGCAAGTGCTCTACCTGTAAGCTATACCTCCAGTCTCTGGGACCCCAGTTTTAAAAAGTAAAAGTTGAGTTCAAGTGACTGCCTGCACCCTGAAATATCTCCTTGTAGAATTTCCCTCTCACTTTGGACCACAGGTACTATGTACTTAAATCACTTTGGTGTTTTTTTGTGTGTGTGAGACAGAGAACCACTATGTAGTTCAGACTGGCCTTGAACTCACTTTGCATTCCAGAATGGCCTTGCAGAGATCCTCCTGCCTCAGCCTCTCCAGGTTGGGATTGCAGGCATGCACCACCACACCTGGGTTAAGATTGACTTTGGATCTATCTGGACAGTCTTATAGGAAGTCAGTCATAGCCTGATAGACACATTTAGGTTTAAAGAGTTTCACGTGTATGAGATATAAAAAAGAACTCAATTTTCTGGAAAATTAACAATGCTTTCTCCAAGACACCTTGGCTTTTTGCACACCCACCCATCCCCAGCATAAATGCTTAGGGTCCACAGAAAGTGCAGCCAGAGCCCCTGAAAGGGAACAGCACACACATTTGCATTATGTTTGGACGCTGCTTCCTAGTTCAGTGACCTCTGTCTGCAGTGGCCTCAGCCTGACTGCTCTGGCTCTCTCACTGTCACAGGACAGCAGCATCCCAAAAGGCAACACTGACCTAAGCTGTTTGAGCTGCCTACCGGGAAGCGGAACTGGGCTTCAGAAGGTTGACTTTGGCTAAGGCTTGTTTGGAACATTGTCTTGAAGCCAAAATGCTGTCAAGGCCCAGGTGGAGGCTGCTTCTCAGCAGCCACAGACAAGATGACATCAGACAGGGTCTGTGTTTCTTCTGACAGGGGCCCTGGCAGCCAGGGTGGGCCACTTCCCCACAGCGGCTTCGTTTTCCCAGACGGTGAGCTCATGCCTGGCACTCATGAGTGCCATAAAATGAGCCACTAAACTTCATGATTTGAGGCAGAAATTAGTTCAAAAATATATATGCACAAATTTTTTTTTTCTTTTTTTGAGACAGGGTTTGCCTATGTAGTTCAGGTTGGTCTCGAACTCATGACAATCCTCCTGCCTTAGCCTCCGGAGTGCTGGGATTACAGGTGTGCACCACTACACCTGGTCCCAAAATTCTTTAAATCAAGTCAAGTTTGAAAAAATCTGATAGGAAAAAATTATACAGTCATAACATGAGACCACACTAGAGCCCCAAACAGCAGCAGACGTGCTGACAGTGATATTCCCTGAAGAAGCCAAATCCCAGAAGACATTTTATCAGTAAAGAGGGATTTCCATGGAATTATGAGCAGAAATGCTTAAAGAATGTTGATTCCCACTTTCCTATGCAACATTACTCCTAAGGGGTTTCTGGTATTCCTACAGCGTAAGTCACAGAAGAAAACAAAACAAAACAAAAAAGCAAAAACCTGCCAGCATGACGGCACATGCCTGCAATCCCTGTACTCTGGAGGCCAAGGCAGGAGGATCACTGTGAGTTTGAGGTCTGCCTGGACTACATAGTGAGCTCAAGACCAGCCTGGTGGGAGAAGCCTGTCTCAAAAAACCAAACCAAAGTGACCAGTTATTACCTGAAGGGTGGCAGAGCACAGTTAATGTGCACATGCCCTGGCCACCCTAGGTTTGATCTGTCTCTCACACACACACACACACACACACACACACACACACACACGTAGGCGGGACATTCGCCCTGTGTATTTGACAAGTTACTCAGGATTATATTTACTTTGACCTTTATTCTATTTATTTGATAAACAGCTCCACAGCTTACCTGTTTCCTCGGGGTAAAGGACAAGCGAATATGTGGTTAGTATTTGGCTACGTGCTGGCTTTGGACTGGCTGAGTTTTTTAACTGACCAAACAGTAGCTTCCTTGGTGCATCAGTGTGGAACTAATGAGAACGCAAAGTGTCTCTCCTGAAAGATGTTTACTGAACACAGTGAGCACGCAGAGGCCGTGTGAGTCAGAGCTCAGTGACCGGCTAAGGCCCCCAGGGCGAACACCTGCGACCGAGGGTGTCAGGATGGCCTCCTGCACACAGCACACCGCTCGGCCCGCTCGGCTCAGCCCTGGAGCCAGCCTGGACTTCACAGTGAGGCCACCTCAAAAACCAACCAACCAGAACCAAGAAAAACCCAGTGCGACACCTTCTTGTGAGCCGGCTGAAGTAGTGCCACGTGCACGGCTCAGCGCAAAATGGCTCAGGTGACAGAGTCCCCTCCTTCTTATTTTTTAAAAATTTATTTTAAAGAGAATAAAACAAAACAAAACACTGAGAACAATATTGGATTTCAAAAGCAAGACAGAAGGAAATGCCTCATACTTGCTGTACTGCATACTGTTACCCTCCCAATAGATGCTCAGACTACCAGCTTTAGACCTGCAAAGTCCATCAAATGATACAAGCATTTAGTTTTTTTACTTCAGTGCTATCATTTGAAACAGCTGGTTGCTGGGGGAAGGGGTCTTGTCTCCTACCTCACACACCGGCTGGCTCCCAGGAAGGCTCAGGTTCCCTCTTTTGAAGGAGCCAAAATTTAATTTAGGTGGAGACCCTGAATAAAAAGCTCTGGGACACAGCTCAGTGTTACAGTGCTTGCCTACCATGTGCGAGGCCCTGGGTTCGAAGTCAGTGCTGCACACACACAGGTAAAGCGTATGAGCTAGTTAAATGTATGAAATTAGAGAACCTGGCCACACTGCAGAGATATGACCTTGACGCACAGAAATATGTCTACATTTTAAAAAATTCTTTCTGCTTGAGCAGTGGGATTGTAGGTATGCGTGAAGTTGGACTTTAAAAGTATAAAATAGGACATAGGTGTTTAAACATCACCTCTAGCTCTTGAGAAAACAGGCAGAGGTTGAAGTGGATCTGCTGTAGTGTCTGGCCTCCAGGGGTTTCTGGTCCACATTCTGAAGTCTGTTTTTTTCAAACTTCTGTCATGTAGGGGTTTTGTTAGTTTTGAGTCAGAAAGATTTTTTTATTGGGGTGGACCTGGAACATGCATGGACCCATGATAAAACCATTACAAGTCTGAAGGGCCAAGCATGGGCCTCAGCTGTAGGGACACACGTGGCCTTCTGACTGGCCCTACCTGGCCCCTCCCCTGCTACCTGACAGTGGCAGGACCCCAGGTCAAGGGTGCTGTTGGTCTCCAGGGTGCGGACCTGGCCAGGAGGGGCGGGGTGGAGAACAAAGTGTTTAACAAGCATATACCGACATCACCCTGCTGGGCCCTTTCACCAATGTGTGACACGTCACAGCACTTGAGGAAAATAAATCCACGGGCTCCTGCGAGGTGGGTGTCCCGTGTCTGTCCTGCAGGCCCTCCAGCTCCACCCGCTCTGAGTCCTGTTATCGGTGGTGTTTTGTCCCATTGCAGATATAGGTAGCAGGACGCATTGTTCTTGACACTGTTCTTGACAGGTGGTCAGCAGGCAGAGAGGGGTCGGGCAGAGCTGCACACGGAGTCAGTGCAATCAGACTGCTCTTGCTGTGGACAGGCGCTGTACAAAGCCTCCACCTTCCACTCCAGCCCAGCCTCCGATGCACAGCAAGCTGGGCCAGTGGGGGGACTGTTTGCTTGCTGTCTCATTCTTTTTCCCCTCCCCCTTCCTTTCCTCCCTTGCTTTTTTGGTGTAAATTTGACAAACAAAATTTAGGAACAAAAAGATACTACTCTCTGATAGTCTCATCCAGATCTTTAACTTTTGTTTGCCTGTATCTTAGAGACAGAATTTCAGGCTGGCCCGCAGTCCTCCTGCCTCTGCCTCCCGAGTGCTAGGATTCCAGGGTTACACCACTACACCCAGCGAGATCTTTTTTTTTTTTTTTTTAATTTTTTTTGGTCTTTTTTTCATTTTTATTGGTACCAGGGATTGAACTCACAACTGCCTGCTTGCAAGGCAGGTACTTATGCCGCTGAGCTAAACCCCCAGCCCCTACCCAGCTAGATCTTTATCTTTTAAAAATCTCACAAAAAGAAATACATAAAGCCTCCTGTCTGCTTGAGCATCCTTATTGTTGTAATGTGGGATTTGTGTTCAGGGAAAAGAAACTCACATTAAAAAGCAGAATATTAGAAAGCTTGGGGTGTGGGCAGAAGTGTCTTTGCCTCTCTTGCCTGCTATCTAAAATTATTTATTTTAAGAAATATTAAGGATAAGTTATGTCAAACATGTATTACTCCTATAATTAAACAAATTAAGAACATGAAGACCACTTACTGTGTTACCCCATTTTCACGTTCAGAACAGGTAAACCCATAGAGACTGAAAACAGCCTGGCTACTGCAGGACCGGGGGCTGTGGAGAATCGAGGAGCTGATGGGTGGCAAACAGTGTTGCACAATGTCCCCCTCCCTTCCACGTCCTCTGGAACTGCAAAGGTGACCTTGTTGGAAGCAGGGGGATGGGTTAGGACAGAAGAAGGCTGAGTGAAGTGAGCACTCAGGGAAGAAGGCAGGTGAAAGGGAGAACGAGGAGGAGCCACACACACTAAGAGCGGGGCAAGGAAGAACTCACGTCCAGTGTCTGGAGGGCACGTGAGTCTTGGTTTTGAATTTCCAGCTTCCAGAATTGAAAAAAAGTAATTTTTTTTTTTTTTTTTTTTTTTTTTTTTTTTTTTTTTTGAGGCAGGGTCTTGCTGTGTAGTTCAGACTGGCCCTGAGCTTGTAGGCAATCCTCCTGCCTCAGCCTCCTGAATGCTGGGATTACAGGCCTGTACCACAATGCCTGGCTAATTTTTTTCTTTTTTTTAGATAAGGCCTTAATATGTAACTCAGGCTGGCTTGAACTCACAGCAATTTTCCTGCCTCAGCTGCCCAAGTGCTGGGATTAAAGGCCATCACTTGCACCATCATGGTCAGCTTAATTTGTTGTTTTAAACCAAACAGATTATTGTACTTAGTTATGATAGCCCTAGGAAACTAAGTACCCAGTTTTTCTCTGGAATGATGAAAATGTTCTGAAATGGATGGTTACATAAGTCTGTGGATAGTCTAATCACTGCTAAATGGTACACCTGAAGTGGGTAAATTTTATCTCAGTGAAGCTATTATGGCTGGCCATGGTGTTGCACATCTACAATCCCAGCACTCTGGGGGGCTGAGGCAGGAGGATCACAGATTCAAGCTCAGCCTGGACAATTTAGTTAGACCCTATCGAATGAGAAGGAAAGAAGGAAGCAGAAAGAGACAGAAAGGGAAAGAGAACAAACAGAACACAACAGAAAACGGGAGACGGGAAGGAAGGAAGAGGCCTAGTAGCTCAGGGTAAAAGTCCTGGGTTCAATCCCCAGCACCCTCCCCTCAAAAAGTTGTTACTAAAAACTGTTTAAAGCTAGGAAAATGGCTGACCTCAAGTAACGCCCTACGTGGGAAGTTCCCAGTTTCACCGTGGGTTAGGGTATGAAGAAGCTACAAGCCAACTATTTAGATGTTAAGCAGGACCGGTTGCCAGGTGTGAGGCTGACTGGCTGCAGGGATGTGCAGGCGCTCAGGCAGGACTCCCAGCGTAAAGTCAGGTTGGAACACCAGGAATTTGTGGCTTAGGGATCCAAACAGTTCAGCAGGGCTTTGGTTTTCCTGGCTCTTTCCTCCTGCTGGCTTTATGCTCAGCTGGCTCTTCGCGGGAGGTGAATCTAGCTATTGACAGTTCCAGGACTGTGTGGCCTTCGAGCTCCCATTGAGAGAGATACGTCTTGATAGTTCTGAGAACAGGGCCGTCCAGGGCTGGCTCAGTTGCATCCTGAGCCAGGGAGTAAAGGCAGCTGTGAGCAAGTCCGACAGCTGAAGATTGCAGTTATCATGGCTCCCGAGGTAGACAGGCTGGGGAAACAAAATACTGTTTAGGCACACGATGCCAGGTGACGCTGCAGAGTTTGCACAGATCCCCAGATCTCTGGAGACCAATGATTGTCTGCTGAACCATACAGGAACACATAACCAGAGATGGTGCACAGTGCTTTTGAAGCAACATGTTCCAAACTCTGATTTTGTATCTTAGAGAAACAGTAAAACGTGACTTAAGTCAGATTCCAAGGCCATTTCGTGAGATGCCATTTTAGCAGCGAGCTGTGTCCCAGATTGCATCTATATACACCAAAGTGATAATGTGTCCCGGGAGGCCTTTTTCTTTCTTCTTTTTCCAGATTTAGCCACTAGAAAAGCTAAGGCTCATCCAGTGTGAAGGAAAAGGCAGTTCAAAATGAAAGATCTGGTTTGGGTCTACCAGGAAACCTTCTAAAAACCTTTCCTGTTCATTCAAACTGGTGATAGTCCGAGGGGTTTCGGATCCAGGATCCAAATGCCTGCTTCCGGAGTGCACTCCAGGCTTCCTGGTAAGTAGAGGCAGCTTGTTTATATTCCTGGTAGGTGTGTAGCTTCTGCACCCTAAAGAAAACACAAACTTCTCACTGAACTGCTCACTTTGGGGGCCTGGAAGACACTCAAGCAAGCAACTAGAACAGGAACTCAAGGATTTTGGTACGCTTTCCTGGAGGAACCCTGACCCTTTGCAGCGAATTCACAGGATGGGTTAAACTGGTAAGAATGAACAGAATGCTAGTTTTATAAGGTCCTGGTAGAATCACATAAAACAAGAATAACTATGTTTTTGGCTTAAAGTCTTTTAGTGGTCTATAATTTCCACTGGAGCATCTAGAGGTTTAGAAATTTTCACTGCATTTGCCCTAACAAAGATCTCTCTACCACGTCATGTTTCCCTCCTCTCACTGCCAGTCAACGCCCTTGCCAAACCCTTAGCATCTCTGATTCCCTGGACTGCAGACATGCTGAGGAGAATCTGTAATACACCCAGGTAAAAGACTGAGCTGAGGTCCTATGAGTCTTCTTTTTGACTTGGCCTTGACGTTGGGCTTTCTCTTCTAGGTTTTTTGGTTTTTTGGTCCTCTAATTCTAGTTTCAGTGAGAATTCTAAGTTTAGCACCAAAACAAAAAACAAAAACAACTACCTTTGGTATTTAATCATTCTCAACACCAGCTCAAGCTCTCCAGCCTTACCTTTGATATGTCATCACCCTGGCCGTCTTCAGCAAGAATCCCGCCAGTCCAGCTGCCTTCCCACCTTCCGTACTGCCCCCACGCCCTGCTGCTAGCTGTCAGCGTCCCCGGGACCCTGCGACAGAGCTGAGCCTGAGGAGGTCCACCTTTCCCTCTGTGACTGGCCCAGTCTCATGGTCCCTGTTCTCCTGAACAAGGCAAGACACAGACTCTCAAGACCACCACTGTCCGCGAGCAGGACCAAGGGGCAGGGCAGCGCAAGCTCAGTAACGAGGGCCGCTGGCTCACAAAACCATCGCTCCCACCAAGGCTTCCTGCCACTCCTACTAGGATCCAAACAAAGTCTCCTGTATGAAAAAATGCAGGTCAGCAGTGTCACCTGAGGGAGTTTGGCCACATGTCCTCTGCAATGCTGCTTAGCAGCTTCTGGAATGATCTGAAGAGCTCCACTTTGCTGACTCGGGACCTGGAGAGAAAAAAGGCTGAGTGTTTTCCATGTACCAGGCCCTGTCAGAGAGGTACCAGGCTTCTCATTGTGTTTTTGTGTTTGAATGTGTCCAAACCCCAGTCCATCTGCACTTGACAAAGGAAAAGATCTAGACTTGGAGATGACTGAGCAGGATGAGGTATAAAAACACGGACCTTGCCAGGCATGTTGGTATACACCAGTAAACCAAGCACTCAGGAGGCTGGGAATTTGAGGCCAGCCTGAGGCCAGCCTGAGTGACAGTGAGTTCAAGGCCAGCACAAAGTACATAGTGAGGTCCTGTCTCAAACACCCCTCCCAACCATCCCACAACAAAAACCCTTAAGACATGTCATTAGCATTAAAATAATTAAAATGACAGACTCAAATAGGGTACACTAAGATGTAATTACTAAACTCTGCCCCAGGGTATCTGTAAGACACATCTGGCTATCTTTTAAATTTTTTATTTTTTAAAAATTAAGAGCCAGGTGTGGTGATGCATGCCTTAATCCCATTACTCTAGAGGCTGAGGCAGGAGGATTGATGACCATGAATTTGAGGCTTCTGAGCTACATAGTGAGTTCAAGGCCAGCTTCTACATAGGGAGATCCTGTCTCCAAAAAATTAAGTTTATTGGTACATTTTAAATATGTATGATGATAGCTGGGGATTTAGCTCAGTGGCATGAGCACCTGCCTGGCAAGCACAAGATTGTGAGTTTGATCCCTGGTACCAAAAAACACCTCTCTCTCTCTCTCTCTCTCTCTCTCTCCTTCTCTCTCTCTTTCTCTCTCTCTCTCTCTCTCTCTCTCTCTCTCTCTCTCTATATATATATATATATATATATATATATAATGATACATTTGTCATAGGGAATTTGTGCCTGCACATGATATATCTTGATGCATTTTTCCCCATCTCCCTTCCTGCTCTTCAACACTTCTTCCCCTCCTTATTTACAAAAGCTTTGTTTCCATTCTTTTCTTTTCCCTTCCTTCCTTTCCCCCTCCCACATTCCCCTTCCTATTTGATAAGTTCTTCCTATTTCAAAATATCTAATATATGTTTTGGTCCTTATTTATACTTTTGGTTTCTCACACCAGAGAAAGCATGTGGTGCTTACACACGTGTGTCCAATTTATTTCACTTAAAGAGTATGGTCTTGGGGATTTAACTCAGCGGCATAAGCGCCTTCCTTGTAAGCAGGCAGTTGTGAGTTGGATCCCCGGTACCGATAAAAAGGAAAAAGACAAAAAAAAAAAAAAAAAAAACTATGCAAAGAGTATGGTCTTGAGGTACACTCATTTACTCAGGAATGTCTCAGGTGTATCCTTCTTCATGTCAGAGTACTATTCCATTGTATAAAAAAATCTCACACCTTCTTTATCCATTTATCCATCCACTGTTGGGCATCTGGGCTGTTTTCAAGAGTAAGCTATTCTAAATTGTGCCACTATAAACACAGGTGTGCATATATCACTGTGGTATGATGCTTTTAATTCTTCGGTAAAGATATCAAGAGGAAAAAAAGCTGGGTCAAATGGAACCTCTAGGTTTGTTTTCTGAGGAATCCCTATATTGATTTCCACAGTGGTTGTACCAGCCTACATTCCCACCAACAGTGAAGAAGGGTTCCTTTTTCCCTACTAGCTACTTTTTAAATTAGGGGTGCTCTGGATTGAACCCATGGCCTCAGCCTTGCCAAGCACAGGCTTTACCACTGAGTGACATCATCAGCCCACAGGGAATGTTTTTTCTGTTTTTGAGACAGGGTCTTACTATGTTGATCAACAGCTACCTCCTTTCACAAGAGCCAGCCCCTGAGGGTGGAATGGTTTATAAGAAACGGGAAGCTCTTGGGGCTGGGGATTTAGCTCAGTGGCATAAGCACCTGCCTTGCAAGCAGGCGGTCATGAGTTCGATCCCTGGTACCGATAAAAAAGAAAAAGACAAAAAAAAAAAAAAAAAAAAGAAACGGGAAGCTCTGGTCAGAGCTGTTTCCTGTGTTCCAAGGTCCACCTGGACGATGCACCTGAAATGGGTCTCCAGGTTCCCCTTACAGGTTTTCTGGGTCTTCAGAGGCCCCAGCTTTGCTCCTAGGCAATGTGGTTCAGGGTGGACATCAGCAGCTGAACACCTAAGGGGCCTCTGGCTTTCTGCCCGTCCGTGCCACACGTGCCTGGGCTGTCTGTGCCGCCTTCCTTCCCCTCAGATACACACAAGAGATGCATGTAGAAACGGCAATGCAGTGCGTCCTGACAATATCTGATCTCATCTTTACACCCTGTGCCCTGCGTCAGCTGGCCAATCACACCCTCAGCTTGGACACAAAGGCCACGACTGGTGTATGTGACAGTCTGCTCAAGCTCCTGGCTGGCAGCAGCCAATTTCAGGAATCGCTGCTCACAGGAAACCGGAGCTCTCATTCTCACTGAGGGCTCTCACAGACTGCTGCTGGAGGCGCTGCTGGCAGGCAGGGACAGAAAGCTGCTTCAACTCGAACACAAAACAAAGATGAAGGGAATGCCCCTTAATGAATTAAAGGAGAAAACTAACATGAGGAACATTTATGCAGAAAGAGCATTTGCTGAATTCAACATCTGCTCAGTGAGTCAAAACTTTTTAGTAAACTAGGCCCACTAGAGATATTACTCAAATTTATAAAAAGTATTTATTAAAATCCCACAGCATAAGCATGTCTTTATTTTTTTTAAATTTTTTTTTTTTGTCTTTTTCCTTTCTATCGGTACCAGAGATTGAACTCACGACTACCTGCTTACAAGGCAGGCTCTTATGCCGCTGAGCTAAACCCCCAGCCCCAAGCATGTCTTTAAAATCAGGACCAAGACAGAGATACTATTCATTAATTTTGTGTGTATGTGTGTGGGGGTGCTGTTACCAGAGATTGAACCCAGAACCTTTGCACTGAATTATATTCTTGGTATTCTTTATTCTTTATTTTAAGACAGCGTCTTGCCAACTTACTACACTGCACACTGGGCTTGAACTTTTGTGATCCTCCTCTCAGCTTCCCCCACAGCTGGGGTTACAAGCATGAACCACCACACCTGGCTATCACTGCTTTTATTTAACATTATATAGAAGGTGCTGGCCAGACAGTAATAGTGACTGGGCTGGGGTGTAAGTGGTAGAGTGTGTGCTTCGCAGGTTTTTGGGTTTGATCCTTACCATCAAAAAGGAAAAAAAAAAAAAGAAAAAGAAAAGCAAGAATCATTACTTCCAGATGATTGTGATACTGTATTTGTCAGCTCAGTAAAAGCAGCAAAGGAAATCAAAGGAAACGGAATGAAAGACTGGAAAGAAGAAGTTGAATAATTTGCTCAAGTTCATGCAAACAGCGGAGGAAAGGGAGCCAGGATTTTAAACACTGGTCTCATCCTCTCAAAGCTTCTGCTGGATGGAGCTTATCTATCAGAATATCCTCATTGTATAGACATGAACACAATGAGGCCCAGATAGCGCTGAACTTCCTCCCAGTCACCCAGATAACTGAGACAGAGCTAGTGACGGAACATGAGGCAGTCTCGCTGGTGTGGTGGCATGTGTACCAAAATCCCAGCATTCAGAGGCTGAGGAAGGGGGAGTCTGTGTTCCTGGCCAGCCTGGATGGCATAACGAGCTCAATACACAGCAATACACATCCTGATACACACACACACACACACTCACAGGCACACAGATGAGACTTTCTTAATCATATCTAAGTAACAGGGACATACAGGAACAAACTGGAGAAGAGCAGATAACATTTAGCTAGAAGCCAGTGATAGCTGAGCTGGGCTTTTAAGGTAAAAGGGCCTGCACATCACACCAAAGAGGTTTTCTTTCTGTTGTTCTGAGCAAAGCAGCAAATGGAAGCTGCAGTCAGCCAGGCAGGGCCGGGACACAGACTGTGAGGCTGCCCCTAATGACAGAGACACAGCTCAGCAAGAAAGTTGTGGTCCTACCCCGCATGACCTGCTCTGCGCACACATCCCACTCCAGGTGGAGATCTGATCTCCAAAAATATGCAAAGGTAGCTGGAAACCAGGACGGCTACTGGGGAAAAACTGGTCCAAAAGCCTCTGCCCTGGTAATTCTCAATTCAAAAAGCCCAGGCTTCCAGGAGACAGGCAGAGGCAGCTGTCTAGGCTGTTTGAACGCTGTACCAGGGGCTCTGAAGAACTATCTTTTGTTTTAAGTATAAAAAGATGAATGTAAGCTGGGTTTTATGGTTGGTTATTTTGAGGTACACAAATAAGCATGTCAAAAAGACAAAAGATTCTTCTATGAACTTCAAGTACCGCTTTTTATAAGGACATAATAAAGAAATGGAAAAAGCACCACTGAGACTGGTCAAGCATTAGACAGACAGTCCATGAAAGAGATGGCCACATAAGGAACGGAATGGAATCTGAGGCTCAAGTTCAGCATCCCACAAGCCCAGTACTTCAGCAAAAGCCAACCCCAAGATGCAAAGTTCAATTTCTAAGTGTACTTTTTGCAAAGTCCAGTCACTATGAAGCTTCATAATTGATGCTTGGCTGACCCTGATTTCAGAAACCAGAACTGCTAGTGGTAAAACCCAGAAGAAAGTATCCTTTCAAAAATATTTCCATGCTGAGTGTTGTGGCACATGCCTGTAATGCCAACATCCAAAAGGCTGAGGGAGGAGGGCTGCTGTAAGTTTGAGGCCAGCCTGAGTTCAGGCTATATAGCCAAAGTGAACTCAGGGCCAACCTGAACTACACAGCAACACCTTGTTAAGAAACAAAACAAAACAAAAGAAAGGAAACTTCCCAAGGAAAACAATAAAATTTCTAAAAACCTGTGCTAGGACAAATAGATATTCACATGGAACAGTGATACTACACCCTATACCTCATACCATATAGGAAATTAACTCAAAATGGATTCAAATCCTAAACATAAGGGCTAAAACTATAAAAATAATAGAACAAAACACAAATCTTTGTGACCCAGAATAGTTAACAGTTTCTTAAATGTGATACCAAAACCTGCAAGGAGGGGGACAGTAGAGGGACCAAGGGACATAAAATGAATTGAGGTGTGTTATGCACATGTACCAACTCCCCATGATGAATGTAAGCATTACATACTGCAAACATGTACTGATAAAAAAAAACATAACACTAAAGCTGGGCATGCTGGTACACACCTGTAATCCCAGCCCTTTGAGGCTGAGCAGGAGAATCACTACGAGTTCAAGGACAGCCTGAACTATATAGTGAGACCTTGTCTTAAAAACCAAAAAACAAACTGATATGTTGAGTTCACTGAAATGTAATATTCTAATTCCAATAAATAAGCAAATTAAAAAACAAAAACAAAAATAAAAAACCCAAAATGAAACAACAAAAAAACCACCAAAACCATAATCAACCAAAGAAAAAAGCACATAAATTGGATATCACCAAAACGGACAACTTTTGTGCTTTAAGAACATTATGAAAAAACAAAACAAAAGACAGAAGTGGAGGAAACTATTTGGAAGTCATATACCTGATAGAGGACTAGTTTCCAGAGCATGTAAAGGACGCACCTCAACATTAAAAATGGGCAAGAAATGAGAAGAGCTGTTTCTCTAAGGAAGACCCATGAATAGCTAATAAGTACATACAAAGATGCTCCTCGCCATTAGTCATTAGAGAAATGCGAATCCAAACCACAATGAAATACCACTTCTCACTCAGTAGAACCATACAATGAAGACAGACAAGAGCCAGGGTAGTGACGCACACCAATAATCCCAGACATCAGAAGGCTGAGGCAGGACTGAGAGTAGGAGGCCAGCCTGGGGTACATCATGAGACCCTGTCTCAGGGGAGAAATACAACAGATGGTAACAAATACTGTTAAGAAAGATTGCACGGTGACTGGGAGTCACCTGTACTATGGGAAGGAGTGGGTAGTACCTGCTAGGAGGTTATGACTTTCTTTTGGGGGCAATGAAAATGTTCTGGAATTAGACAAGGGCATAAATTGGCAGCCACCATCACCTGCCCCAGAACCCTGTACCTGGCCTGCAGGCTTCCAATGCTTTTCTTCGTCGTTCCCTGTGGGAAACCATTGGCAGTTACATCCAGCGGCTGCTCAGGAACTGCACTCCAGCTGATGGCTATGAAGAGATAAATTCAGGGGTTAAAGCTTCTATTTTCTGCACATGCCACAGTATATTCATAAAAACACTTCCTTAACTTCCTTAAGCCCATGAGAGCTGGACCTGCAGTTAGAGAAGATCTCCACTTTGATGCTCGACCTCCAGGGAAGAACAGTATAAAGTGGTTCAAGATTCACTGTCATCACTCCAATTATTTACAATGTCACTGAACATTTATTATATGCTAGACAGATTAAATGCATTAAGCAGAATTTCCCATTCAAGCCTCACAATAACCATGATGAATGACATTTTTCAAATCTGAAGAGAAAGAAATGAGGCCAGGAGAGGGTGATCAGCTCAGAGTCACACAGAGCATACTCTTGACCCAGTTTAGGTGTCTCCCAAGGTCGTGCACAACTGACCTTAGGCGTGGGGAGCTCCCTTCCTAGGCTGGAAGGAAGATGCAGACCCTGGCAGGCTGCTCTGTCAGGGAGTCAGTTTCTCCAGAGCAAGTCCAGCCCGGATCTCTTACCTGCCCCACAGGGAACAAGTCGACCGGGACTATCAGCCCTTTGTGCCTGCACTGCACAGCAGCTCTGTTCGAACAATAAAGATGACTGCTGTATTTTCAGTTCTTGAACTCCAAAGCCTTTGGGTAAAGCGGAGATGTTCTGACACCTAAGTGTAAGGGAAAATGCATTCAGTTTAGTAGAGAAAAGGTATATCTAGGATTGTGGGCCACACTGTAACAATGGAGGGCAAGGCCTTAGGAGGTATGTGGATCTACTTGTTTGGTTGTTAGATGGGGATCGCAGAGTGTCAGAACAGAACCTGGATAGTAAGAGCCTCTGGCCGTGGAAGATTCCCCCTACCACCACTCTGAAGGGACGGACAACGCTTAGTGTTGTCAGCAGTAGCGAACTTCAGCCTTTTTTTTCCCCCTTTTTTTCCGCACTGCTGGGACTGAGTCCAAGGCCTTGCATCTCAAGGCTATCAGTTACCACTGAGTCACATTCCCAGCCTCTGAAATAAATTCCTGATACAGGGTTTCAAAAACTTGAAAAAATTTTTTGGTACTGGGAATTTAATCCAGGGTCTTCACACTTTTTACTTAAAAAACAATTTTTTTTTTTGAGACAGGGTCTCACTATGTAGTTCAGACTGGCTTTGAACTCACTCTGTGCACCAGGCTGGTCTTGAATTTGGGGTTATTCTCTTGTCTCAGCCTCCTTAGTACTGATATTACAAAAAATATTTATGAGATGAGTTGTTAAATTTCCTAGGGTAGGCTCAAATTTTCAATTCTTCTGCCCCCATATTTTCTTTTTAAATACAGGCTCTCATTATACACCCCAGGCTAGCCTTGAATTCACTACATAGCCTAGGCTGACCTGGAAGTCATAGTGATCCTCCTGCCTCAGCCTCCGAGTGCTGGGAGTACAAGGGTGCACCACCATACCTGGCTGTGGTTTGTGTGTCTGAAACAGGGTCTCACTATGTAGTCCAGGCTGGTCTTGAATTTGCCATGTACAAAGGTGGCCTCCAATTTGTAATCCTCCTGCTTCAGCAACCTGAATGCTGAAATTACAGGCATGTACCACAATATCCAGCTAGAAACTGACTGCTATTTAGGATGCAAAAACCATCATAGTGCAGGACATCTACGATGGCTAGAATTACCACTATCCCGAGGAAATGATAACTGCCACGGGCAAGAAGAAAATCGCCCAGAGGTCAAAGATCAAGTCCTTTGTGAAAGTGTTATAATTACAATCACTTCATGCTCATGAGTACTCTGTGAACATGCCCTTGGACCAACGCAATCAACAAAGACACCATCAGAGACCTGGCCTGCAAGGGTTAGTACTAACTCGAGGCCAGTCAACTGCAAGGCCTGCCAGGAGGTGAAGGTCAGGTTTAAGGAGAGATACAAGACAAGCACGAACAAGTGGTTCTTCCAGAAACTTCAGTTTTGGGTATTTTTACTTTCTATCATTAAAATTTTTAAAAAATTCATTTTTTTCTCTTGCGCCTTTTACACAAACTAGATGCCAATGTGATGCTGGCAACAAACTACACGCTTTCAAGTCCCAGAGCCTTCCGCCTCATAGCAGTCGCCCTCTGCCCCCGTCTCCAGCCTCTGGTAACCACTCATCTACTCGTGTGTGCAGCTCTGCCTCTTCGGGATATTCACATACATGAAATCATACAATACGTGGCCCCTTTCACTGCTATTAGCCTTTGTGCATACAGGTTTGTGTGGATGCTTGCTTTCTTTTCTCCTGGGTGTGTACTGAGGCGTGAACAGCTGAGTCATCCATGCGGTCTGCTTTCGGAGTCGGCTCCAGGGTCTGGACATGTGACGCAGCCCAGGCTCCCCGCTCCTTATCTACTACAACACTGATCAGGTTTGGCTCCCTCCTTTGGGGAGAACACACCTGAGTGGTTTTAAGTGTGGTCAGCCTTTGTCTTTTATCTTTTTTGAAAAATTAAAAGTAGATTAAAGATCACTGAGTATCATAAGGGAAATATGTAGAAAAATTAGAAGTACAGTAATAATAAGAAATACCTACCCATGACACCACACTCAGAGATCATTATTATTAATACCTTGGTGTACATCCTCCCAGTTTCCTATGTACACAGATCCTGTAAGACCAACATGGAGCCCACTTTATTCTCTAGACAGCGCTTTGAACATTATGAACATCTTTCCACATTAAATATTTATCAACATCATTTTAAATAAAAGAAATCACTTAACTCCCCACTCTAAAATTTCAGGCTTCCTTTAAAAAAAAAAAAAAACTACCGTACACAAAACTAAGTGTTCCATTACTTTCTCAACTATTTCTTTAAGAAAGATCCCTAGAGGTGCAGGTGCTGGGTCATGGGCTGCAGACTTTGCGGCTCTGTGACACACTCAGATGCCTCCCTCCCTGCCCTCTCACCTCCCAATCAGTGCTCTGTGCATGGCTTCCTGACTGTATGGGCACTTCCCGATGACCACAGCAGACAGGTAAATGGGCTCTTCCAGGAAATGCATCAACAGTGCACCTTGGCAGCCGAGAACATTCCATCGGGCCACCTTGTCACTGCAGGACATGGAGCAAGTCCTGTCTCCCCGGCCTGGCTTCACTCGGAGCAGCCCCACTTGGTGATATGCGGCCCCCGGCTTTCTAGGGTCTCCAGCGTCTCCGGGCACACACTTGGCTCCAGTTCTATAAACGTCCACCACTTTCATACTACAGGGGGCTACTCCAGAGACAGAAGCCAGTTCCTCTAAAGGGACGTTAGGGCTGCTGACATCTGGTGCGACTGGGTCACCGCCTTGCTTGTCACGATGAGCAGCTCCGTTGGCGACCAACCTGGCAGGAGTACCAAGCCTCATCCTTTTGGTTACGGGACTGTCAGGGTCTTCACAATTCTTTTTCTTTTCAGGAGTCTTTAGGTTACCACTGGCTTCTACAGGTGAGTTTGTGACCCAGTCTCTGCTGATAGGGTAGCAAGGCTGCTCTTCAAACCCCAGCATTGGGATGATGGAGGCATCCCCACCTATGGGAGAAGGCAGCCCCTGAACCAGCAGTTCTCAGAGTGAGTCCCCTGGACCAGCCACATCAACATCCCTAGGAACTTGTTAGAAATGCTTCAAACTATTGGGACTCGAAGGAGAGCTGTTCAATCACAAACTCTGGAGGTGGGGCTTGGGTGTTTGTTTTGATAAACTCTCCAGGTGATTCTGAGGTAAGGTCAGGTTTAAAGAATCGTTGTCCTAGAACCAATACAGTCAAAAGGGCCGTACTTCCAAAACTGATATACAGATTTAATTCAATCCCAATCAAAATACCAACAACATTCCTCACAGAGCTAGAGAAAACAATCCATCACATGGTACCAAAAGAGACAAAGTAGAGCAAAAGCAATCCTGGGGGGGAAAAAAAGACACTACAGTAGCCAGTGCTGATCACGGAGTTAAAAAAAAAAAAAAAAAGCAATCCTGGACAAAATGAGTAATACAGAAAGTATCCCAATGCCAGACTGGAAGTGACAGTACAAAGCCACAGTGATGAATACAGCATGGCACTGGGCACTGAAAAGATAGGAGGCTCAATGGGACAGAAGACGCAGAAGCAACCATGGGCACATTTGGCCCTCTGATCTTTGATAAAGGGGTCAAAAACACCCTTTATGTAGGAAAAACAGCCTCTTTTAAAAAGGTGCTGGGAAGACTGACTCTAGACCCATATATCTCATCATGTGCTAAACTAAAGTCAATGTGGGTCACAGATCTAAATGTCAAAACAGAAACAATCTGATGGAAGACAGGTAAACTCTTAAAGAGACAAGCATAGGCAAGAACCCCAAGGCACGAGAAATAATACCAACAATCAAAAAGTGGGATCATATCAAATTAAAAAGCCTCTGCACAGCAATGTAGACAAGCAACAGAGTGAAGAAACAACCTACAAAATGGGAGAAGAATTTTGCTAATTAGTCCTCAGATAGAGGACTCATATATAGAATAAAAGAATTTAATTTTTTTTTTTTTGTCTTTTTCCTTTTTATCGGTACCAGGGATCGAACTCATGACTGCCTGCTTGCAAGGCAGACGCTTATGCCGCTGAGCTAAATCCCCAGCCCAGAATAAAAGAATTTAAAATAATAGACCCTCTAAAGTACACGAACCAATCAAGCAGGGCATGGTGGCACATGCCTGTGATCTTAGCGCTTGCAGGGTGAGGTGGGAGGGTCACCATGAGTTTGAGGCCAGCCTAGGCTACATAGTAAGTTCAAGCTAAGTCTGAACTACATAGTAAATCCTGTCTCAAAAAACAAAACAAAACAAAGCAAAAGACAGACTACAGCTCCATGGAGAGGCCCTGGTCTCAATTCCCAGTACTGCAAAATAAAGAAAAAATTTTTTAAAAAGAAAGGAAAGAAATAATCAATTACTGATCCCTGGGAGCTCTTATTCTCCTAGACCTAGTGAGTTGAAATTTCTGGAGGAGACATGAAAACATATATACATATAAGATACACATATAGACTCTATATATAGATATATAAACTTTTTTGGGTTTTTTTGAGGTAGGGTCTTGTTAGCCTTAAACTCATTATGTAACCCATAGTAGTCTTAAATTCATGGCGATCCTCTTCCCTTAGTCTCCTGAGTGCTAGGATTACAGTAGTACACCACTATGACTGGTTAGAAAACAATATTCAGACAAAGATCTCAGATAATCTTTATTACAAGGACGTTTTGGAAACACTGGGTTAGCTCTGGGACTGTCAACCTCCACACTAAGGATATTTCCAGACTGCATCGTTCTTTGCTGTGGGACCATCTTGTACATTAGAGGACACTTAGCAGCACTGCTGCTGCCCACTAGACACCACTGCCCCCCAAGCTTGACAACTAAAGGTGTCTCCTGATGTTGCTAAACGCCCCCTGGGGAGCAGAACTATGCTGAGCTGAAAACCAGTGGCTTAGAACAAGGTTTTCCCAGCACATTTGTGGACTACTATTTGGCACACCCTGCTCAAAACGTCCCGTCCTGGAGATTTTCATGGTGCAGAGTCCCACAGTAAAAAGATTCTACAGTGAGTTGCACATCCTGGCCCGAACCAGTTTCTCAAAACTTCCAGTGTCTCCCAAGCTGGTTTAGAGATTTCTTATCTACTGTGTGTTCACAGGGAACCCAAGAAAACCAGAGGTCAAGGAAAAGTGCAGCTCTCCCTGAGAAGGGAGTACTTTTACAACAATAACCTAATGTGTGCTGCTTTTTCAAAGTGTGTAAATAATACATCCGTACTCTTTCTAACCTACGGATGGGAAAGGCTAAAGATGTAGGAGTGGGAGTGTTGCCAGGGAGGCTGACTGGCTTTTAGAGACCTCACAAGGTGACAGCGACTTTGAAGAATTCTCTAGGATCTACCACCCACTCTGTAGGCTCGGAGATTTGATCCTGACAGATTGCCTTAGCTCAGGAGGCTGACTCATGTAATAAAACTCAAGAGAAAGGGTCTGAGTAGCTAAACAAGGCACCAGATGATTAATTAGTAACAAAAGGTAAATGCCAAGAGAGCCTGCAACTCACATCCAGATAGTTTGCTTTTTTCCTGCAGAGAAACCATTAGGGACATCACATTTTAAAAGATTACTCAAGAGCTTAAGAAAGTTAGATCAGTAATTCTGGATTTTTGTTTCACAGACCAACAAGATTTCCAGCTTTAACATCAATACAGGGCTGCCAACTTCTTAATCCCATCAAGCGAGATTTTTAAACCAGGTGTGGTGGTGCACACCAATAATCCCAGTGAGCCAGGCAAGGCCACACAATGAGTCTAAGGCCAGCCTGCACTGCCCTGTCTCAAAAACAGAACCAAACCAAACCAAACCAAAACAAGTAAGACCTTTAAAAATTCTAATTACTACCACTGTAAAAAAATAACAACCCCCTCCCAAACAAAAGGAAGTAATTATTGTTTTCAGTACTGGGAATTGAATCCAGGGCTTTCATACTGAGCTACTATATTAAAACAGGGTTTCCCTAAATTGCTCAGGCTGGGAGTGAATTTATGATTCTCCTGCCTCAGCTTTACAGAGTACTGGAATTACAACTTTGTATCACCACACTCAGCTAGCTCTTGTTATCTTTAAATTGAAAGAAATTTGTTTTTGTGTTTTCTTTTTTTTTTTTTTTTTTGAGACAGGGTATCACTATGTAGCCCAGACTGGCCTCAGACTCACAGGGATCTTCCTGCTTCCACTTCTCAGGTGCTAGGATTACAGATGCCTGCCATCATTCCTGTTAGAACTGGTTGAAAAGCTCACTACATAGTCTTGATTTTTGTTTTCCTGTAGACTCTCACAGACTGGTAGATCCAGAGGCCATGTGTTTATGTAGCTTGATTAGGATATCAAGCTGTGACTCTGGGATCACCCAAGCCCTAGCTACTCAAAGAAAGGTCCACTGACCAGTACCACAGGCATTTCCTGGAAGTTGGTAGAAATGCAGAACCTCATACACAAAATGATCACATCCTTATGTTAACATTTTTAGAGTGAAAAAATTTTACCACCATCCCCGAGTTGTTGCCTACAAAAAATAGGAATTACTTTCAGCTTTTGAAAAAAAAAAACAAAAAAAACCCAGAACACAAATGATTCCCTCTGAGTTAGGTCTAGTCTTACCTTATAAAACTACAGCTCTTAAAAAAAAAAACAAAAAAAAACTCAAAACAAAAAACAAATAAACAAAAAGAAACCACAGCACCACAGCTCTTGAATATCCCCTGATAACTCAACAAAATGTACTCTAATTCACCACGCTTCTCTACATTCCCTAAGACTCTTTTAGGGTAAGTAATACGCTAAGTCTTATTCACTGCTATGTTTTCAGTATGCTATTCTGTGTCTAACTAGTAGAAAATATTTTTCAATGAATGAATCAATTGGTTTTAGGAAACGTGACTCCAGTAGGACTTTGGACTTTCTAAACCCCATTGTTGACTTCATACTTTGTGGGAATTAAATCTTTAAGCCCGATCTGACTCTGAAAACTAACGGTATGAGAGGCTCCGTTCGCCTCTACTTCTGCCTTGCCTTCCTACAGTGGAGAGGTAATCAGGGATGTAAAATGGCACTGTCATCAGCTATAGCTATACTTCAACAAAAATACTTCTAAAAAATTCTCTATGGATAAAAGAAACATAAAGGCTGGACATGGTGGTACACACCTGTAATCCCAGCGCTTGGATGGCTGAGGCAAGAGCATTGCTATGAATTCAAGGCCAGATTAGGCTACACCGTGAGATCAAGGCTATCTAAACTACACAGACACTCTCTCAAAAAGCCAACCAACCAACCAATGAAACAAACATAAAGAAGTAGGCAAAATAACATTAACTGAAAGGTTTGAATATACTTACAGGGTGTGTGGCTGGAGAAAAACACAAAAGAGATGCCTGGTCTGAGTTTCCACTGTCCTTTTTGAGTTCCCAGGACAAAGATACTATCCTCTTTTAGAGTGGCTGCCAATTGGAGCTGATGACAAAGGTACCTATGAGTCGTAAGACATTATTAGAATAAACAACCAATGTCTCTAGTACACAGAAAGACTTTGGTCGGGTGATTGCTGAGAGAGTTACTGTTGATCAAGGAGACTGGTAGTGATGTGGAATTAGAATAATTGGTCCAGTGATGCTCAAAGTGTGGTGAAACATCAGCACCACTTGGGAATTAGGCAGTTTCTTAGGCTCCCCACTGGATCTGTGAATCTCCGGGGGAGGCCCAGAAATCTAGATTTTAATAAGCACCACTAGTCTAGACCCCAGTAGTGCACAGGGATACAATAATAAGCTCTACTCAGAGCTTATTACAAATGCAAACACTGGAACTCTATACCACACCTGCTTAATCAGACATTCTGGAGTTGTGATTTTACCTTTGGAAACTTCTTCTGGCTATGACTTCAGCATGGCTGTCATTGAGGACATCTCCTGTGGCACAGAAATGACACCAAGTTAAGAAATATGGAATGTGGAGGGGCTCTGATTTTCAGAAACAGCATACAGCAGTACCCCAGCACTCAGGATGGCCATGTAGCTACTGGAGAGCTTTGACAGAAAATACCGAAAGTATTTATAGCGATGCATTAATAGCAGGGTTTCTCAACCTAGCACGGTAAACATTTTGCACCAAAAAATTCTTTGTTGTAGAGGGCCAGCTGTGCAATGCAGGATGTTCAGCATCACTCCTAGCAATACCTATGAAATGTCAGGAGCACCCTTCCCCTAGATGTGACAACCAAAAACATTTCCACATACTGTCAAATGTCCTCACCACTGATTTATATAAGTCTTTATTTGGAGACCTTTTGTAGCTTGGCATTGTGTTCATGGTGAGACACGGCCATCTAATTCAGTCTGGTGCTCTTGGAATACAATTGTCCACCCCATACAAGAGGCAGGACTAGGAGAACACAGGAAGCAAACTCAGAGGAAACTGCTCACTGGAAGAGGAAGGTCAAGGGCTTCCACATATTTGTGGGTGCCAAAAGCTCTACTTAGTTCAAGATAACTTTCTGAATCCTCTACCTTCTCCGAAGACCTAAAGCCTTTCAGACACAACAAGGAACAGCTAAACGCAGAGAACTCGTGGTCTAAGCGTAAAAACGAACTGGCTTTTAGTTCACTTAGCACATTCCCCGTGGCTTTTGCTTCAGTGGTGGATTTCCATTCTTCAAATGCACAAGCACTGGCTTCCAAGTGGAGCAACAGTCAGTAGGAAACAAAAAGTCAGTCACATCGACTTTTGTGGCCCTCTCCCCTGACAAGGACATTGGTTCCCAAAGCTCCCACACAACTCTTTGCTTAGACTCCCGCCCACGCTTACCGCTCTTCCGCATTTTCGACTGGCCTATGCATTTTGTTCCTGTTCCCATTGAGACGACTTCCTTTGTCACTAGGAGGAAAAAACAAATCATTAAGGGAGCTCTCAGAAGCCAAATGTTCCCTAGTGCTCAGGTTTTTAAGTCTGGAGTTTTCTCCACAGGATTCCCACAGCCTGACTCAACCAGGACCGCAGTCCCAGCAGGGTGGGCTCCCACCACCGGAAGTACTGCGCCACCTGGTGGAGACATGGAAAACACATTTAACATCGTAGGCGTGTACCCTGCCCACGACTGTCCCTTAATAGCTCTGTGTAATTTTTAACAGCACTGTGTAATTAGGATGTTGAGAGAAAAGATCTCACCTTGTACTGCCTTATCAGAAGTGTCACAGTCCTGGGCAGATGACTGGATCTTCACTACGGCTGCCAATAAAGTCCATTCTCGGTTTGGCTCAGGTTTCCCCTGCTTGGGCAGCTTGATGCGATAGTGTTCATAGCACAGCTGAGCAATCTCATCCGCAGTCCACATGGTCAGAGCTGAAACAGAGGCCCAGATGGAAAGATACAACCATCAGAAGTACAGGAGGGAGAACCAGCACAAGGCTCAACAGCAGTTCTGCAACAATCTTTCTACCTGGTCCCACTCTGTGTGCAGATTGAGGGCCCTTCATGTGGAACTCTCATTCATTTTTTTCTATCTCCCTTCCCTCTTTTCATTGTGTGTGTGTGTGATGTTGAGGAATGAACCCAGGGCCTTTATCCCCAACGTTTTTTTTAACTTTTTGAGACAGGATCTTGCTAAGTTACTAAATGGTCCAGCAGGGCCTTGAATTGGAATCTTCCTCAGTATTCTGAGTGCTGGGATTACTTATAGGCATGCACCACTATACCTGATTCTCCTTTTCACACGTGTGAAAGATTAAGCAGTTCCAAATCCCACCAACCCCAGTTCCAAATCCCACCGAAGATTGCTTTTGATGGATGTCCTGTTTTTTGTTTTCAGCATCAGGTGTCTGACACACACCTGATGAATCTGAATCTAGTACTCAACAAAAGCATACAGCAGATCATCTTATGTGATTTCTTTATGGACAGATGTTCTTTTCTATCCTTTTAAGGATCTCTCCTCTACAGTAATTAATCTATAACTCTCTGTAGTAAATTGCTGAGATTTCTCACCAATCAAGTTTCATCTTCACAGTTGTGCTGAAGGGAATGGAGCTTTGGAGCTGCCCTTTGTGAATGCCAATTCTGGCTTTGTAACAAATTAAACTATAAAATATGGGATAGGCTAACTTTTGTGTCTCATGTTCTCATTTGTCAAAGTAGGGACAATGGACTCTACCTTATTTGGGTTACAGGTATGTATAAAAGTAATTGCCAGTTGGGCCAGGGATTTAGCTCAGTGGTGTAAGCACCTGTCTGGCAACAGCAAGGTCGTGAGTTTGATCCCCAGTAAAAAAAATAAAATAAAAATTGCTAGAGATTGGTGATGGCATACATCTGTAATCATAGCACTGTGAGATTGTGAGGCAGAAGGTTCAGGGACAACCTGGACAACTTACAGCCTGTCACAAACAAACCAAAACCAAACCAAGCCAAACCAAAAAGCTGAGGATGTAGCTCAGCATAAGAGTCCTGGGTTAAGCACAGCCCAGGCCTACAAGTAACTGCTATAATGTTGAGCCATTAACGTCAAATGTGATTGGTATTACCAAAAAAATTGATGATTATCCCAATTTGTCTTGAGCTACTTGGCAGTGATAATGGTGGGACAAAGAAGGGCTGTAATGGAAACAAAGCCATGAATACGGAACCAGGCTGAACTGCATAGCAAGACTCTCTCTCTCAAAAAAAAAATCTCCCTCCCCCCCCCATTACTGAGATCAAACTTGAAGGAGGCCAGGTACACCTTGTGGGAAACCTTTGGCTCTACCAATACTCTATGGATATATCCTCACCTCATTTGGACTCAATCATATAAAAAATACTTTTCTATCATTTGTAAAACAGAAACAAGGTTTTGATGAGGCCTTATGCATAAAGCTTCTGAAAGCTATTTTTTTTTTTTGGAAAGGTATTTCTACAATCAGTCATTTTAGATTACAATGCACAGGCTTGTTATTGTAGTAAATGATAATAGTTAATTAGACCACAGAGACTTAAGACAAAAATCTGGCATGAATTGACAGAAACTTTAAATCAGAACACCAGCAGTCTTGTTTGTCTAAGAGTTAACATGTAACATGTAACATTTTCCTTTGGAAAAGTCCTAGTTACCTTCACAGTTCTATCAAAAAGGGGTTTATTTTATGAAGGCAGACACCCCATCTTCAACCTGACATTAAAGTGGAGGTCTACATTACAAACTAATAGCCGCAGAAGGCTGAACTTATCAGAAATGATTTTTTAAGACAAAGCAGTCCAAAACATATCATGTCATTCAAGGAGTTGACTCTGAATGAGTACATACAGTTGTTGAAACAGATGTTTTAATATTCTGGGTTATTATAATCCAAGCCTACACCCTTTCCTAAATACTGAACTCCTTCATATGAAACAGCTCAGTTGAATAGGTTTTTTAATTCTTCCTATCAAGAATCAAACTTAAGGGCCGGGGATTTAGCTCAGCACCCTAGCGCCTGCCTGACAAGCACGAGGTCTAGAGTTCGATCTCCGGTAACCCCCTCCCCCCCTCAAAAAATCAAACCTAGGACCTGGCGCTTGCCAGGCAGGCGCTGTGCCGCTGTGCCATAAGCCCGGTACAAAGCGGCATTTCTGCACCCCCAGCGTAGTATGTAACCACTTCTTTAAATAAAAATAAAATACAGCTGCCAAGGAGGAAAGGCTTTGGGAGCGTTCGAAGGTGGGGAAGCCTTTTCTTTATACCCTGGAATGAGCGGGACTCGGTGAGCGGCTGACTCACTGGGTCAGGCAGCATCACCGCCACAGGCCACAAGCAGCGATCGCCGCCTTAAGAGCTCTTCACGCGGCTGACACCTTCAGGCGAGGAGCCGCACTTTCCAAGTGACTTGTGTCTGGTATAAGCCAGTTCTCACTTCTTCCCACAAATAATGGCCCACTAAAGCCAGACTCGAGACTCCTGGGGCCCCCTCAAATCTGCGACCCAGGACCCACACCCTAAACTGGAAGACGCACCCACGCCGTCTCCAAACCACTCGCCCACAGAAGACGCAGGTCAACTTCGGCTGCAGGACGGACGTGACGTCACGGAGACGTCCTCTTCCGGTCCGAACACACTGCTGCGCAGTGCACGCTGGTCCTTGTCGTTCTTGGAGCGGGACAGACCAGCGATATAAAGCCAAAGTTTACAGTTCCCAGCGTCTGATTGGGCGGCGTGTTTAGGGACGCAGGAAACAGCTGTTGGTAGCCTGATGCCCGATGTGCTACGATTTCAAGTACGTTGAGTCTATCGTGGAACTCTAGTCTGAATTTTTGTCTAAAATGGCACTATCTAGTAGAAATATAATTCAAAGTATATATTGATATTTAATTTTTTCTAGTAGCTACATTTAATAAAACGTCAAAAGAAATAAGTGAAATTAATTTTAATTTCACATTAGTTTTTCATGCAAAGTGTAAATAAATCTGATGGATACTTTACATTTACATCTCAAGTCGGACTAGTCACATTTCAGTTGTCAATAGCTAGACACGTGTGGCCAGTGGCTGCTATAGTGGACATTGCAGTTCTTAAACCTTTAGTATGCCTAATATTGCCATATGGGTAATCTAGGAGCCTTTGCCATCCAGCAGTTATATACCTCAGTTGCTAAAGGTGAGGGAGCTCATTTTTTTGTTGCCCCTCAAAAGTTAAAAGGGAGCAGATTGCACCTTGTTTGACCCCTTCTTTCTAGTTCAAAGGAAAAGGGCCACTGACTGCCTGCAAGGCTGAGGACGCTGGTGTTTATTCCTCTCGACAACATTTTAAGTCAGCAGCTGTCTCCCCCTTCAGTCATTAAACACCCATGGCAATGAGGTGAGGATCATCTTGCAATATCCCTGACACCAGGGATTGCTAGTGTCAGTCAGCTTTGTCATTTACCTTTCCTTAACACACACAGTACCATTCTTTACTGAGTCCTGTTGATCTCACTTCCTGTCTTTGGAACCTATGTGACTTTACTTCCACACTCCAGTGCAAGCTGCTCACATCTTCCTTTTGGATTTGACGCACTAACCATGGAACTTTCCCCTTTTGCTTGTCTAACTCCAATTCATTTCCCCAAGAGAAGCCAGACTGATCTTTTCAAACCCCAAATGTGATGGCATCCACTTTCTCAGCCTGAATACTTTTATATTTCCCAGCACTCCTAATAAAAACCACAACAGTAAGGCTCACAACCCTGCATGAACATCTCTTCCTGCTTTACCAGATACCATACTTCTTAGAGGTTCTAGTACATTGGCTCTTCCATGCTCCTTCCTGTCACTGGGCCACGATTGTACTCTGCAGCGCCATGGAAAAACCCTTCTTCACATCACAGATATAATGTCCTCGGGGAAACCTTCTCTTATTAGGTCTGTCATTAAGTACCTTTTGTCTGTTGTTAGGTACCTTCTCAATATCCCATAATCCTTTTCAAAGCATTTACCAGAGGTATTTTACACAATTTTGGGAGGTGACTTATTAAATCTTTATTTTTCTTTATCTAGAAGCTTGAAGACCAACCCAATACAGAAATTGGTGATTGGCCGGTGTGGTGGTACATGCCTGTAATCTCAGTCCTCAGGAGGCTGAGGTAGGAGGATCATTAGGAGTTTGAGGGCCAGCCTTAACTACATAGTGAGTACAAGTCCGGTCATACCTACACAGTAAGACCCTGTCTCAAAAACAAAAACAAAAAACAAAACAGTTTGGTGATTTGATTTTTTTTTTTTTTGTCGTTTTGAGACAAGGTTTCACTATGCAGTTCAGGCAGGCCTTGAATTTTCTTTGTATATCTCAGGCTGGTCTTGAATTTGCAACCATTCTCCTGCCTCAGCATCCTGAATGCTGGGATTATAGGCATGGCCCACCATGCCGAGCTCAACTATTTCATGAAGTGACAAGGCCTTTATGACCCTTCTACTATTTATCCTGTCAGTTTTCCTTACAAATCCCATGTACAAATCGCTCACACCTGTAATCCCAGCACTCAGGAGGCTGAGGTAGGTAGGAGGATCATTGTGAGTTTGAGACCAGCCTGAACTGCGTAGTGAAACCCTGTCTCAAAAAGATAAGAAAAAAAAAAAAAAAAGTCACAAGTACAAATTGTCTCCTGCTGGGTATTTCCCAGCCTCCTTAAGGTCAGGCAGCTGGCTTCTGCTACCCTCCTTGCACTTAATAAATTCTTCTGTCGTTCAGGATGTCATCTTCCTTGCAGCTGTATCCAGTGGTTCTCACTGGCAATGCTGTCTGAAGTTCAGTCCCCCCTTTTTTTTTTTTTTTTTTTTTTAATCGGTACCAGGGATTGAACTCACGACTGCCTGCTTATAGTCCCTTTTCTGGCTGGACTTCACTGCTACCCTTTGCCTTGGACTGTCTCCATCTTAGCTAATTCCATTTTGCTGAGGATGTGCCATACTGGTAGTGTTTTTTCTGAAAGATCACTTGGTCATCTACTGGTCTCCACACCCCTTAGAGTAGTCCTCAGTTAGGTAATCCTGCATCCTTTGCTCACTTTGCCAGCTAAGAAGCATTAACCTGCTCTGTGAAAGTAGACTAGCAACTCCCAAATTGGAACATGGAAGTTTTGCTGAAGTGCAAATGAAAAGTGCTTTGTTGACTCAGTTATCTCCTCAGCTGCTTCCCTGAGCCAGGGAAAAGGGGCTCCATTGTAACCACAGACTGGCAGCCATTCTTGTTCCATTCTCAGTCCTATTGAGTTAAAATGAGAAAACTTCAGGCCCACATTCAATGTCCTGGTGTCTACTGGATGCCTAACAGGTGTGACAATACTTACTGTACATACACTCAAAATCAGCTTTTCCACTCAAGCACGAACCCCTTCTTTTCCTCTTCTCAGTGAATAGTACCTTTTTTTTAGTTGGGGGAATCCTTGAACTCTATCTTTGACTTCTTTCCAGAAATATGCCTTCCCCAAATCCTGTTGCCCTCAGTTTAGGCAAACACAACCACTCATAACCAATTCCCCTGCCACTGCTCACATTCAAGTCACCACCTCCCACCCTGCCCACTGCAACAGCCCTTCTTGTCCCCCTGCTCAAGCTTACACTCACATACTGGTGAGAATCATCTTTTAAAAGCACCCCACTGCTCCAACTCTCCAACAGCTTCCCATGTGACATACAGCAAATTGTATGTGACTACCAAGAGCTCGTGTGATCTGGGCCCTCACTGGCCTTCACCTGCTCTTCAGCAGACCCTCTGCTGCTCCTCTAAAACGTGGTCTTTTAGTCATAGCCTCTTCCCTGGTGTGGTCTCCAGATCCCTACTAAAACACCACATAGCAGAGGTCTTCTCAATAGCTGTATTTAAAATGGCCCTGTCCCACCCACCACTACAGCAGCTCCTTTGTCCTTACAGTCCTTTCTTCATAGTGTGAACCACTGCCACAAAGAGTATGTATTTAGTTGTTTATTTCTCTCCACACCCCAGAGAGTGAGTGTAAGTTTCATAAAGGCAGTGACTCTGCTTTGGTTCACTGCTGTGTCTGACTCCCAAGAACAATGCCCAGCGCTGAGCAGACATTAATATCAATTTGTCGAAGGATTAAGATGGCAAAATCCTAAACATTCATTAGGCCAGCAGTCTGGGGAAAAAAGCTGACATCCCGAAGGTAAAGACACAAATGGTTTATTTTTAACAAGGAGTTAAAAAGAAATTCTTTTCCCTTCTGGTGGTTGAACCGAATTGTGGTCAAATGGATGACTACACACAAGAATTCCTTCACAGACTTGAACTTTTTGCGCAAATGCAGATGCCTGAGTTACATGAATTGGAATTATTTTCTAGACAGAAGTGCCAATCGATGTGTTTTCCACTGGGTCAGTGTTTGCTACAGTCTCCTTCTTGTCTTCTGGCTTCATGGCAGGAAACAGAAGTACTTCCTACAGGACATAAAAAAGCATTTTGAAGCTAAGAGCCACTCTGAACAGTTTTTACAGTGATACACCTATTCCTTTTGCCTGCTGTTGTCCCTACCGCAATCCAGAGATCTGTCTGTATACCCCAGACAAAAGGATAGGTATATTCTTTTATTTCAACTTGCTCTCTTGTAGTAATGGAGGATAAAAAAGAGCCAGTTACAACACTGCCTAGTGGCACCATGCAGAAAGAATGATTAAACACGGGCTCTATTTAAACTACATATCTTCATCTATAACAGGGTAACAACAATTTCTACACCTCACAGGCTGACTGAAATTAGAACTAATGTAGCCACAGGGCTTGACACGTTCCAGAATCCTCAACAAATGCAAGTAGCATTCTTCCTGTCTCAGAAAGATAAAAACCAAGTGTGGTCAGAAGTCCCAAGTCCAGCATCAGCTCCTCTGCCTGGTCCTCCTCTTGTTCAAAGTCCTTGCTTTATTCTCTAGGCCCTCTACAATCCACCTCCAACATGGGAGCTGTGCCGGGGTACCATGTACCTTGATGTTATTGGAGTCTGTGAGGAACATGGTGACGCGGTCAATGCCCATGCCCCAGCCAGCCGTGGGAGGCAGCCCATACTCCAGGGCAGTGCAGAAGTTTTCATCTATGAACATGGCCTCGTCGTCGCCAGCAGCCTTGGCCTAGATTAAAGAGAACCAACAGATTATGGTTCTTCCAAGACATTTCAGGGTCTAAGCGAACACACTGAAAGGGATTACTGTTATCTCACAGATGCTCCTTGAAACCTGGGACTTCCTGGGAATTGGTTACCTCAGATGGCAGTGACTCTGAGGTAACCAACTTAGCAGTTTCTTCCACAGACGACTTATGGGTGAGACTGACAAAATCTACTTCAGATTGCGCTTTGATTTATCTGAAAACATCTCTGCCACTTGGGCTCTGGGACTCAAGTGAGACTCTCAGAGATAGCATGATGATTCCAGGAGTCTCTTTCCATTTCTGGAGACCAACCATCAGTGACAGTGGTCATACAGGCAGCCTGCTGAACTGCTCTTTATTTTTATCTGCCTCTC